AATCTTACTTTGTAGCAAAATGGAAGACGAATGGCCTTGTGTTGCGGGGGGCGAGTGTCAACATTCTTGACCAACACCATGTCTGGAGCAAAAAGGCATAAGAATAGAAAGAACAACTACCTTTCGATGCATTTTTACACAAGGAACTATACAGATGGTCTAAAACAGCAAAACCCCAACTATATGTGTTTATTTTATCAAATTGTCTTAACAAGGGTAAATACATGATATTAACAGTATTACCCGTTGTTTCAGGAAATAAAAAATGGCCAAATAAAATCATTATGTAACACTGAGCTTTCACAATTTTTCTAGCTCCGTAGAGTTTTCGATTATTACGAGACTACTATGATATTCTCTAAGAAGACAGAGATTAATACCTTGGCCTCTAGACCCCTGTTCAAATAAAGAGACTCCCAAAAGTTCCTCGCATATGGCGTTGTCTTGGTTGACTTAGCCGTTGACAACCTTACCATCGATCAATAGACCGAATAACATGTACACGTCCTCTAGTGTGACTGTACATTCACCACATGGAAGATGAAAGGTGTGAGTTTCGGGTCTCCACCTCTCCACTAATGCGAGAATAATTTTATAGTCAACATGGTAATTAACTATGTTGAGTAACAAACCAAAATCGACATGTCGTAAGTACGGTTCAATTTGAACGTCGTAAGGGACATACTCATGGACACGGCAACAAAATCTTTTAACATCCTATTAAAAACATGAATTGCGTATAAGAAATACAAGATTCACGTATAACAATCATAAGAATTACGAAAATAAAATTTGTTAGAAAAAAATAGGTATTGAGGAAAATACACTTACAAAAGTTTCAATGTTATTGAGAGTTCCTCTATGTTGATCACCCATGGTCAAGAGAGACATTTTTTCTTGATTACTCTTGTGTTGTTGTTGACGTTTCAAGAAAGAAATAGTGTGTGAGTTATAATTGTGATGAACATATATGATGAATGTTACATGTATTTATAGGAAAATCTTGAAGTACACTATGCATTCACGTGAGAATACTTTGCATGCAAGAGATACACATAGGCGTCACCCTAGCTGGCGTCCTCTTTTTTAATACACATAGGCGCCACACTAGGTAACGCATGCTCTCTTTGATACACATAAGCGCCATTTAACATGACTTGTTGCTTTTTACATGCATGTAAACCTGCAGCGTGGCAGAGATCAGATGGCATGCATGCAATTTTGTTGTTCAATGACAAGCCATCCTAGGTGGCGCATGTATGCAAAAAGAATAGGATAAGCCACCCTAGGTGGCACATGCATGCAAAAAGAAGAGGAAAAGTCACCCTAGATGGCGTATGCATACAAAATATAGAGTACATCCATACTTTCATTAGTCTATTTAATTGTCTGTGTAAGGTGCATTACTAGTATACATCTATAACTCACAAAAAACATTCCTCAATAACATGGATCATTCACAAAATTATACTATTGTTGCCCATATTAACAGTGAGACATTCAACTGCGATAACTTAGGTTTTAATTTCTGTAATACCGATTTTATCCCCTTTCAGATAAACAAGAAATCAAGTTTTGCACGCTTCAAAGATAGACTAGAAGCCAAATTGTAGTGTGGTCCAGTTTACTAAATTCTTTACAAGTCCCCATTTCTATTTGATAACAACCAAGTCAGATTTTATCAACTAAAGGTGTGCGACGATGATGATGTTCGAAACATGTTTCGAACTCATGAGCAATCCGGGTTCAATGAGATTGAGCTGTATGTTTTATTACAACAACCAGATCAATCTCAGGTGGTAGATCCTTCTCAAGACTTTGAAGAAGAGGATGAATCTAATGATGACAACCATCCCGAAGTTGATGTTATTGACCAAGAAGAAGAAGATGACGAGGCAATGATTGATGTTATGGTCAATGATGATGCTGCAGATCAAGAGCATAAACCTGTACCTACGAGTCATGCGTACGACCCTCCATTTCACATGACAAAATTGAACTTGGGGGAAGATAAACCAGCCTCAGATATCTTTCACAATCCTTATATGCAGACTGAAGGGGCCTTGAAAGTTGGAGACAAATTTCAAACAAAAGAAGAGTGTCTTAGAGCTATCAAAAAATACCACATGGAAATTTTAGCTGGCTTCACTGTAGATAAAAATAATTTAGGGAGGTACATTATTTTATGTCGTCAAAAACCAATTTGCCCTTTTCGGTTAACTGCATCTTACAGGAAGAGAAGTGATTCATGGGAAATAGGTTCCATTGATCCACTCCACACTTGCATCACTACCATTCCAACGTAGGATCATCGGAAATTAGTCCTCAACTAATATGTCAAGAAATCTTGTCTCATATTAGCAAAGATCCATCATTAAAGGCGAGTACAATTATTTCTCACATCAATACAAGATTCAATTATACTCCCTCTTATAGGAAGACATGAATTGGGAGGACTAAGGTAGTTGAACTTGTGTACGGTAATTAGGAGGAATCGTACAAAGAACTTCCAAGATTTTTGGTGGCACTCAAATATTATGCTTTGGGAACTGTTATAATTTTGGAGACACTCCTGACATTTACCCCAGATAGAACTCGTGTTAGTGGAAATTGAATATTTCATCGATTGTTCTGGGCATTTGAACCATGCATCAAGGGTTTAACATTTTGCAAACCTATTATACAGATTGATGGGACTTGGTTATACGAGAAGTATAAAGGAACATTACTCATGGTAGTGGAACAAGATGGGAACATTAATGTTTTTCTGATTTCCATCGCTCTAGTTGAAGGTGAGATAGGTGGTGCATGGAATTTCTTTCTGAAGAATCTTCGATTACACGTTGCTCCCCAACCCAACCTTTGTTTGATTTCAGACAGACATCCATCGATTGTGAGTGCATATAATAACCCTGATAACGGTTGGCAGGATCCCCCTTCAACACATGTCTATTGCATTAGACATATCACATAAAACTTCATGCTCCATATCAAAGACAAAACACTTCGAAAGAAAGTTATTAATGCAGGGTATGCCTTAACAGAACCATCATTCTGACACCATCGCGAAGAAATCTGGTTGGAAAACTCAGAAGCATTAAGGTGGATCGATAACATTCCAGTGGAGAAGCGGACTCAGGAATTTGATAATGGTCAACGATGGGGCCACATGACAACAAATTTGGTGGAATCATTGAACTCTGTATTCAAAGGCATCTGAAATCTACCAATTACTGCTTTGGTTGGAGCAACATATTTCAAGATGGGGTCATTGTTTGACACAAGAAGTTCAAAATGGAGGGCAATATTACAATCAGGGCGGTTGTTCAGTGAATGCACAATGAAAACATTTAACGAGGAGGCTGCGAAAGAAAACGCCCATAGTGTCACCGTGTTTGACCGTATTAAAGGTTGTTCAGTGTACAAGAGACAATGAATCATAATGAGGGGAGGCCAATGGGATATAATCGGGTCGAACTAAATAGAGGTTGGTGTGATTGCGGAAAATTTCAAGCATTTCACATGCCATGCTCTCATGTCATAGAGACATGTTCGCATGTCCGCTTGGATCCAATACAACATATATCCCCCGTGTACACAATAAAGAGTGTTTTAAGTGTGTACATCAATACCTTCTTCGTGTTGGCAAATGAGGATTATTGACCTGCTTATCAATGGGACATTGTTTGGCACAATGAACAAATACGACGGAAGAAAAATGGGCGCCCGAAAAGCACTTGTATTAGAACTGAAATGGATACGGCCAAGAAAATGATAAGATTATACAGTACATGTCGTCTTCCCGGACACAATCGGAAAAATTGTCCGAATATTGGGTCTAGCTCTGCAACCTAACTTTTTTATAGCAAAATTTCTGGAGTGTTTAATTTGTTGTACGCAATATATTTCAATTTAAATCCGGGTTAACATTTCGTGTTCAATTTATCATTCGATTACAACAACTTTCACATAATGACACAAAAAATTACAACACCACAAACTCAGGACAATAATACAACAACATGATAAACAAACAAAACAACTAAACAAATTATAATATCTAAGAGATAAAAACCATCAACACAATATCGTCTAGTCCAAGCATCATCATCATGACATCAACGTCGCATCTCACATTTTTCCATGATCGGCTTACTCCATTTTCGTTCCTCACTGTAATGCGCCTTTCTATTTTTCTGATCTGTTCACCTTTAGGAATGTCTCCTTCCAACCAGCAAATTAAGTGCCTCTAAAAATGCTCGAACGTCTGCGTGTTCCAGAGTTTGATCTTCACCGGAGGCTTTGTCGCAGAAAAAATAACATGCGTATCTCTTTTGATTAGTGAAAACTTTGGCAAGGGAGTTGAAGACATTTTCTAAGAGTTATGTAACAAATGGTGTGAAAAAATGAAGAGGATAGGTGGTTGCATTTATAGAAAACCATATAACACTGTCAAACCAAAGAAGATGACGCCTCCTCTTTGACAATACATGCATGCGCCACACTGCATAACTTTACAAAGGAGGACAAGCTATGCAGTGAGGCGCCTCCTCTTTAAAATGTATACATGTGTCACACAAAGTGGTTACTCCTCTGTGTGATAAATTTTTTTTGTTTGAAAAATAATCAATTTGATAAATTTTTTTGAAAACTTAATTATTTGAAATTAAAAAAAAAAAAGATTATTTGAAAAAAAAATTCACCATTTCTTTTGGACCAGGATCCATGTAGTCACTGCCTGGTGTAGTCACTACAGTCCGCTATATATGGGCTATAAGATCTATTTATTATTACATCATGACCTTTAGTTTATTTTGGTTATAAAATAAATGAAAAATGCTTGGAGGTGAGAGATAGACTAAACCGACTGCAGGCAATTAAAATCCCTTTCTTCCAACACAACAATTTCAGATACCCTAGCCCCAACTCTGGTGCCATTGCCGCCGCCACGCCCGTCCCGTCCGGCCAAAACCGATATCAGATTGATAACCGAAAGCAACATGGCAACGATATTGTTGCAGTTACAGAGAGTCATAAGAAACGGAAGTGTTAATTTGATCTCCACACTCCCGCATTCGTCATCTTACTCTTCTTCTAGATCTTTCTCCAAATCATCACCCTACGTTGGTAAAACTTCATCTTTTTTCTCCTATACTTACCACATTTTTCATTCTATGGTTTTTTATACTCATCTATGGTTTGCATTACAATTTGCAGTCAAGGTTGGAATTCCGGAATTTCTAAACGGAATTGGAAGCGGGGTCGAATCTCATGTCGCCAAGCTCGATTCAGAAATCGGTGACTTCCAGAAGCTTCTTGTTACTAGAACACTCAAACTCAAGAAACTCGGTATTCCTTGCAAGCATGTAAGCCATTTTCCTCTATGCCTAATTATATATTCTTATGCTGTTTATTTACATAATTAAAGTTTACAACTGCATTTTCTTTTTCGTTCTTCATCGTGACTTAAGCAACCCTTAACATGGAATTTGGAATTTTGAATATTGGGATTAGTTTTAATCTTTATTACATGCACATCTGAATAGAGTGAGTTTGTTATAATAGAGTGCTCAATGGCTTAATCTTGCCAATTTTTGTACTCCTTGTGAATAGGTCAATTTTCAGCTTCTGTATAAAATTTAGGGTTTTAGGAATTAAAATATCTTTTTCATGTGAGCTAAAAGAGAACTAAGTTGTTCTCCTAAGTAAGATCGGATGTGGGTCCTCTAACGTTTGGGCAGGAAATGCGCTCTACTGTTCAATCAATCGATAGAGTTTATGTTTTGGAACTTTCTGTTACCTCCCTTGACTTCTCTATTTAGTCTTTAATTTATAGTTTGACGGAAGTAGTGAGATGATTTTGCGATCATGGAAATGGGCAGCCAATGACAATGGATGGTAGTGGGACCTCTGTTGTTAAAAGCAGCTGGAGCGGCCGCTATAGCGGCGTGATGCGGAATTTCTGGCCAGGCTGCTTCCGGTGGTACCGGTAAAGCGCGAAATGAAGAAGCGGCTTGAGCGGCCGCAAAATCGGGTCCTGGAGCGGCCCGAACTGGCCACTTTTCCTATTTTCGCAAACTGGGCGGGGTCGGGTAAAAAAATTAGGTTTAAAACGTAAAGAAACCCTAAATTCTGTATCGCTAGGTTTGCTTTCTCACACGCCTCTCTCCTTCGCACATCATCAACATCATCTCCCCACAGCTCTCCATCATCGATCTCCATCTTTCTCTTCTCCATCCCACATCATCAACTCTGCTTCAGGTATTTTGGTTCTGCACCATCATATCTTTATTTCTGCTTCTTTTATTTTGTTTTTTCTTCTGTTATGTGATTTCTGCCTCTACCAACAGCCATGACAACTCCTCCTACTAATTCTACTCATCCATCATCATCCAAGAAGAATACAAAGGGGAGGCAAACAAACTTGAAGGCAAGCATAACTCGTTTCTTTTATCGGAATGGAATTGATTCGATGTTGCAAATTCAAAAAGTTTCAAACTGATGGTTGAAGCTATTGGTGTGTATGGTGCAGATTTGAAGTACAATCAAATGTTGCAAGACTTGGTTATAAAGTATAATCAAACTTTGAAAGAGCGGTTTGAAAGTGATTTTTTGATTGTGGTCATGGATGGTGATATTGATACCAATAACCCATGGTTGTGTGGAGGTGAAGAGGATGAAGATGAAGTTATAGATGCTTAAGTGTTTGTTTTCTTGATTTTTATTGTTATTTGGAAGTATGTTTCAATGTTTTGCTTAAGACTTATGCTAATATGTATTTGGAAGTATTTTATTTCTTAGACTTAATGAAATTTGAGTTTTTTTTGGATATTTGCTAGTATGTTTTCAGCATGTAAGTGTCATTAAAATATTTAGTTTTTAGTGTCCGCGTCGCTGAAATTTTCAGCGCCCGCTCCGCTCCCCGCTTCCGCGCCGCTCCCATTTTTGGGTTGGCCGCGCCGCGCCGCTTTCCGAGATTAACAACATAGAGTGGGACACAATGGCGGTTGGCTGTGTTGGACGCTGAAAACAAAAATGCAAGGGTTTTGGATTTGCTCTTTTTCTAATAGTTTTTAACCACGTGTCATAATATTGGCATTCCGATTAATCTAAAGGACTGAATTGATTGAACAGTAGAGTGCAGCTCCCGCCCAAACGTTAGAGGATCCCCATCTGATAAGATCACCTATGGAGAGTTCAAGATACAACTTATGGTAGTCTAATTGAACATGATAAGGTTGTTGGATAGGATTTTAAACTGTTATTAGATTGTGTTGCATCTCTTCCACCATTTTTTGTGCAGAAAAACCTGTTATTTGTTAAAAGTCTCATTAATTTGTGTCCCCCCCCTTAATTCAAGTAGGCAGGGTTGTGTTATAATTATGGAGTTACTGCAGTAAGTAATTCTTATGACTGACATTGTAACTTTAAACTGAAACTAGATGAATCTCATATTTGTATATCTTATGACTGGTGATTACGTTTAAAATGAAACTGTAAGTGTCATTAAAATATTTAGTTTTTAGTGTCCGCGTCGCTGAAATTTTCAGCGCCCGCTCCGCTTCCGCGCCGCTCCCATTTTTGGGTTGGCCGCGCCGCTTTCCGAGATTAACAACATAGTGGGACACAATGGCGGTTGGCTGTGTTGGACGCTGAAAACAAAAATGCAAGGGTTTTGGATTTGCTCTTTTTCTAATAGTTTTTAACCACGTGTCATAATATTGGCATTCCGATTAATCTAAAGGACTAAATTGATTGAACAATAGAGTGCAGCTCCCGCCCAAACGTTAGAGGATCCCCATCTGATAAGATAACCTACGGAGAGTTCAAGATACAACTTATGGTAGTCTAATTGAACATGATAAGGTTGTTGAATAGGATTTTAAACTGTTATTAGATTGTGTTGCATCTCTTCCACCATTTTTTGTGCAGAAAAACCTGTTATTTGTTAAAAGTCTCATTAATTCGTGTCCCCCCCCCTTAATTCAAGTAGGCAGGGTTGTGTTATAATTATGGAGTTACTGCAGTAAGTAATTCTTATGACTGACATTGTAACTTTAAACTGAAACTAGATGAATCTCATATTTGTATATCTTATGACTGGCGATTACGTTTAAAATGAAACTGGATGGGTCTGAGTTTTGTTAAATTTACCTAAATTGAGGGCTTGAATGTTAAGATTATTAGAGCCTGTGGAGAGGAGAGTCTTTAGGATCCCTCTGATTTTTGTTAAATTTATTAAAATTGAGGGCTTGAATGTATTAGAGCGTGTGGAAAGTTCTTTAAGATCCCGTAATGTTGCTTTCGATGTCTTACAGAATAAATAAGTTTTCACAGGCATGATAATTCATGAATCTTTTCTTAACAATTTAAGCTTTTAATAGAGTTGATATATGACATAAATTATGTTTTTGAAATATATTACTTTTCTACTTGCAGATTTTATGTTTGGATTAAAAAAAATCCCTTTCAATGTCTACAACAATTTCTTATTCATGCACATCCCGTCTTGATGTTTCATTTAGCCATTAGACTTGTCCTAACTTGCTACAAGCCTACAAGAATATGGTACACATGTTTTTGTGGACTAAGGTGTTTGATGTTCTATCATTTTCATCTGGCAAGGCATATGCCCGTGTTTGATATGCAGGTTTACAATTATAGTACCGGCATCTAAGATGCCCATAGGCATATGATTCCCACAAATACCATACTTAGGAGGATCTTTGATACCAGATTATTTCGTATCTTACATTTGTGCCCAGGATCCACATGCATCATTAGATAAATCCAAGTTCTATAGATGATTATAATATTAAAAATAAAATGTGCCCTTTATGGTAGTCACTCCTTGTGATATATATGGTTTTTCAATCTTAAGACTTGTAGACCAGGAGTACAATTACCTTTTGATTTTTGGCAGGATTGAAGTTTTTGTAATGTTACATTGATTTTACGGTGACATTATTTTGATTGTGATTGGCCACTTGGCATACAGTTAGCCAGTCCACCAACAAACTTATGCTTTTTTTTTTATTGCAGAGGAAGCTTATATTGAAACATACACACAAGTACAGGCTGGGATTATGGAGGCCACGAGCTGAACAGGTCAAAGCGTGATTAGTTTCTACGTAGTAAGTAGCCTTTCGATGTGAAATCATATAAAAAATGTTTAGCCATTGCGGAGTGACAGTGCTTGACTTTGCATGAAAAGATGAAGTTATTGGCTCTGGATACCTCTCACCCTTATTTGTCACATTGGTGTTTTGTCATTTGCACCAGTCAAGTACAATGAACTAATCTGAATTGACTGTTTGTGATTGTTATGTCCAATAATTTCACTGCATTTTTTGTGTTGTATCAATTGTTTCTAGCAAAGGAGAATTAACTTTGATTTGGGAGTTTGCAATGGTTCATTTTTTTCGTGTGCAGTTTCTGCCTTTCACGCCCTTGCTAATTATCCCATGATTGATCTGTTACTCTTTCTGTTGTGCATGAATCATGATTTAACTGAACGTCTACTTTGAAGAAGGTTGGTGATGATCCATGTTGTTTGATGAGTTGCTCTTGTTTGTGTAAAAAGTGAGGCAATTGACAATGTCTTCATCACTTTTCAGATTTTCATATTTTTGAATAATTTACTGCCTAATTATAATTGTAAAACTGCACACTCCTATTAATAAAGAATACTCATTGTAGGAAGTATTAATATGATTTTCAAGCTAACACATTCTTCATCTTATGATCTTCTAGTTTCTTCCTCTTTCCTCAGTTGCACCTTTTCATCCCCTATTATCATATCCATCAAATGTCTGTTTCTAAATAAAATTGGAAATGGAGTTAAATCTTGTGTTACTAAGCTTGATTCTGAAATTGGTGATATCCAAACGCTTTTTCTTACTCGAACCTTTTAAACTCAAGAAGTTAGGGTTCCTTGCAAATATGCAATCCCTTTTTCATTTTGCCAGTACAAGTGAAAGGGCATGTTGATTCTTTACCATGTCTCAGTTCAACCATTAACATGGAGTTTGGAAACTTGATTATTCGGATTAGTTTTTCACATTTCAGTCTGAATATGTACTTTTTTTTTGTTTTGTTTTCCTCTTTGTATTATAGGCCTGTCAATGACTTTTTACCTTGCCAAAATTTCTACTCCATTTGAATAGCGTAATTTAGCATTTATGTATAAAATTTGGGTATTATGTTTTCCATCTTGGTAGTTTTTCAATCTATCTCTTTAAAGATGCTCAAATTTATGAAAATACTATTGAAAACATGCATCAGGTATATCATAATTTCATGGGCTGGGCATACTTTAGCTCATTTTTATCTTTCTTTGACTTTGAGATTTGAAACCGGAGGCCTCTCCTCATCTAGTTCTCTCGTTATGCCGAGAAGAAGCAGAAAGAAGCTTGGAAGAAGAGATGGTCAATCTTCTCTTATCTTATGGGCGAGACTGCTAAAAAAGAGGCTTTTTAAAGCCAGAACGAGTCCTCTCTTGCGGGAGCGATAGGCGGGAAAGGGGGAGGAGGTCTTCAGTAACTCCGTTTTTGAATTGGGTCATGAATGGTATTCGATTTCTTTTAACAGCATAAAAGCATTCGAACTTGGGAGATGCGAAAAAGAAGAGGTTTTTTTTTGGCTTAAATGCAGTTTTGACCCCCCTAGTTTAAGGTTTCCTAGTTTAAAAGCCAGGTTTCTAGTCCCCAAAGTTTTCAAATTTGGGATTTTTGAAGCCCCTCCATCTGGCTGCCCAAAAAGTGACGTGGCAATGCCACGTATTTTTTTTTTAATTATTATTATTATTTTTTTTAATTTTTTTTTTTTTAAATTTTTTTTTTTTTTTTCTTTCGAACCTTAATTTTTTCCATGAGGAGAAGAAAATTTTTTTTTTTTTTAAAAAAAAAAAAAATAAAAAAAAAAAAAAAAAAAAAAAAAAAAATTTTAGAAAAAAAAAAAAAAAAAACGTGGCATTGCCACGTCACTTTTTGGGCAGCCAGATGGAGGGGGCTTCAAAAATCTCAAATTTGAAAACTTTGACGACTAGAAACCTGGCTTTTAAACTAGGGGGATCGAAACTCCAAAAACCTTAAACTAGGGGGATCAAAATTGCATTTAAGCCTTTTTTTTTTATAAATAAAAGTAAATGGCCATGAAACACATTTCTTGGGTTTGAGTAAACAGTCTCAAAAGCCACAACTTACTCGGACAGGAATAGCCCATAACACTACCAATATTTGGCAGGGGTTACTTTTTCACCACACGGGGTGCTAGCGCAGCTTAGTAAAAAATAAAACATATTTCTAAATTCTGAAAATGCATTTCCGACATATCTATAATACACACATTTCAGCACTTTATGAATAAATTGTTCTATTTTGTTTAAATTTAATTTGAAAATATATTTCTGAAAATTTTTCTTATATTTTTCACGCAGCCAGTTAATTAGATAAGCAATTGTATGTAATATCAATTTTACTTTTTATCACATCTGTAAAAAAAAGAAAATCATAATTTGCATTTCTATTATGTTATGTTATGCACCCATTAGTTGTTTTTTCATAATTTCTGTAGTCATTAACCCCTCTTCAAATTGCACGTGAACGTAGCTGTAATTTCATTAAAATTACTAGTAATTAAAAACTAAAAATAATATCAGTACCAATGATGGCATGAAAAAGAAAAGCTATGACTCATCACAAGGCACAATATTCAATCTTAGAATAAATACAATGATTAAAAGGAACCCGCATGTTTTACGAATTATATTTTAAGTATGGAAGATATAAATTATAAGGTTAAATAAATTTTTAGTCTATGTAAATAATTCAATTTTTATTTTTAGTCTTTCAAATATTTTCTTTTAAAGATCGGTCCTTTCAAAATTTTCCGTTTAGACTATTGGTCCCCAACGTCAAGTTTCATTAACGGCTTTCTATGTGGCAAGACAGGTGAATTAAATAATTTATTTTATTTTCTGATGTGGAATGCATTACATAACTTCTTCCTAGTGGCATATCTCATTATATAACTTCTCCCAAGTGAAATTCAATACATAAGTTCTCCTTCGACAGCATAACAAGACATTGACATTTCTGTCTCTTGTGGTCCCAAACATTGAAGAAACTTCAGCTGGTTGCTGTGGTTCCAATAAGGATTAGGTAAGTCTCACTTGTTATAGTTTATTCATTCCGAGCATTACTTGCATGCCCTGTGGCGTGGTCCCAAATTCTAGGGTTTTTCATCTTTAATCTATCTGTTGATAATGTCTGAGTTACCCCTCTTTTTTTCTTGAAATGTGTAGGCAATGGGGTTATTTAAGGTTGTCTTTTATACCAAAGAGTCATTCATAAAAGATGAAGGGTTAAAATACAAAGTGGATGATGTTTACGCTGTATGTGGGCAAGATCCTGATTTTTTATCATTCTTTGAAGCCTGCGACTTAATTAAGAGTATGGATTCATGATTTAAAACTGGAGATGTGAAAATGTGGTGGAAGTCTGAACATGGCTCACTTGAACATGGCTCACTATATAGAGATCTCATAATGGCTGCAGCAAAGGCAACCTATTTTGAAGCTCACGAGGATAAGATGAATCAAATTAAGGAGGTAAGTCCAGATGCTTTTGGATGGTTAAATGCTATTCCCAAGAATAAATGGTGTAAACATACCTTTCCCTTGTACTCCAAGTGTGATGTTCTTATGAACAACCTAAGTGAATCATTCAATGCTACTATTTTAATGCAAAGGGATAAATCTATAATTACCATGTTTGAGTGGATTAGGAACTATCTTATGGCTAGGTTTGCCACTCTTAGGGAGAAGGTTGAAAATTACAAAGGAGAGATCATGTCTAAACCACTTAGATGGTTAGATAGGGAGATAGAAAAAGTGCTAATTAACTGCCCACATATGGAGGTAGATTAACATTTCAAGTAAGTCATGTAATATTCATAGAAAGTTATGTTGTAGACTTGAAAAAACATACTTGTTCTTGTAACTTTTGGGACTTGGTTGGGATCCCATGTAGACATGTTGTTGCAGCCATACATAGGAAGGTAGATAATCCCATTAAGTATGTACACAAGTGTTACCATAAGTCTACCTATGTCTCATGTTACAATAAAGTTATTAGTCCCATTAATGGCCAAAACAAATGGCCAAGGACTGCTGACCCTGAAATCTTACCACCAAGTTACAAGAGAGGTGTAGGTAGACCAAAGAAACTCAGAAGAAGAGATCCAGATGAGGTAAGTCAAACAAGGTGGCAAAGGACAAACACAAGTCACAGGTGCAAGACTTGCTTGGAATATGGACATAATGCAAGAACATGTAAAAAAAACAAACAATTGGTAGTTGTTAAAGGTGAACTGCCAAGAGATGTTGCACCCACCCAAGGAAGCCAAACATAAAATGTGGCTACTGCAGGATCTAAAAAAAGGGTTAGTAACTCAAACTGAACAAAAAATTTACATTAGAAATTCATATATAATTTTCAATATCTTGTTACAGTTATGTTGGATGCAGGGTGGGCCAAAAGGTACAACCAAAACCAAAAAAGGAGGCACATATAAGAAATCAAAAACTAGAAATGAGAGTCATGCTACTGCAGGAACTGGGAGTGATGCTAATACAGGAACTGGGAGTCATGCTACTGCAGGAACTGCAAGTCATGCTACTACAGGAAATAAGGCAGGAAATGAGGCTCAAGCACCAACTGCAACAACTATGAGTCATGCTACTCAACCTGGAGAGAACCCTGCACCAACTGATGTGACACCTACTCAACCTAGGGTACACCTTTCACAAAATTCTGTTACCTCATCTGAGGCAATGAGAATGTACTGTGGTATAGATCCTGATGAACTAGAGGCATTGTTGAATTATGATGACATGCTAGATATTCTACCATTAAGAATTGATATTAGTCCTGCAAAGAATAATATGCCTGGTCCCAAAACCTTTATTGGTAAATGTCCTAAGGTATCAAAACTTGCTAAACTTGCTAAACCTGCTGCTAACCCAACTATGAGTGACCCTGTAAGTTTGTAAATTGTTCTGATAGACTTATTTGGCATGTTCTATTTTTTTTACCTTAATAACACTATTTTCATAACAG